TGTCATTGTGTTTTTGTTAATGTCGTGTTTTTCTTAATGTCGTTGTGTTTTGGTTAATGTCATTGTGTTTTTGTTAATGTCGTGTTTTTCTTAATGTCGTTGTGTTTCCGTTAATGTTGTTGTGTTTTCGTTAATGTTGTAGTGTTTTGCACCTCAGGGCCACCGTATAATTCATTTGTTTGTTATTGACTTTTGCTCAATTAAATTTCTTATGTATACATTGCGAATGGTATTTATATTATAGTTGATCATGTTATTTTTCATGTCTCCTTATGTCTTTTGTTCCTACCATAATTGATGGAGATGGGTATTATTTATAATGTATGAAAGTACTGTTTGTCATTTCATTAGTTCTACTTCCTTAAGAAAATTAAAAGTACGTTCTTTTGTGAGGGAATTTATCTTTTACTGTTCCAGTAATGCCAGAATTAATAAGTAATAAAGACTTTGCGGTATTCTGATTTAGTAATGCAATTAGATTAGTTGTGTTACCACACCCACGCCACTAGAGGCAGTCGCAAGTCCGAAAAGATGCGACTAAGGAGCAGATTTAGAAGTACACCACCGAAAGCAACAGAATTTGCTAAAAACTGTGAGCTGCCGTGAAGTAAATAAAAAAAGAAGTTCAAATACATTCTGAGAGTTAAACTCCTTCCTAAATGTGAAAATTTATCACAGATTTCAAAAGAAAATAAAAACGGAAGTATAGGAAATATCGCCCCCTTCACTTCCGGATTGCAATGGTCCCATTTCCAAATAAGGTATGAGACTGACAGTGGTCCGTCCCCGCCCCTTTCCGTTTACTGCAGCGAGGTCCTTCTCAAGCAAAGGGCTAGCGTCATTGCTTCCGGAGGCTAAATTTGGCCATCGCTTGTCTTTGAAAGCAACAGTGTTTTCAAAGATCAACTTAGTCTTTAAGAAGTTGCAGTGTTACTGAGAGAAAACTATGCTTTGTATTTTCTATCTTATCTTCTTCTAATGACATCATCAAACAATGGCAGACTCTTAAATATAATACCTAAATTCCGCCACTAGATGGCACTAACCGAACACTTCCACACCTGTGAATGTCAACAAACTGACGTGCAACAGGATAAATAATATTTATGTTCTCTTTGGAATCAATAAAGTATTTTTGTTTTTGAATATAGGTGATGTAGTCAACATGAAACATTATATGGACTTATGTCAGGGAACGTTTTTACAAATAGAATAACGGTTTCACAAATCACAATTTTCTTTTTTTTTATGTTAGTATAAAATAGCGCATATCAAGTTTGACCTTTCAGTGTAGCTGTCAACTGTATGTAGTTTCATGGACTCACGTTCTTCTGTTTATAGAAACCCTTTGCAGCTAGGTCTAGTTTTTCTTTTCTGATTCGTGTTCTTGATATGTTACATTTTAACAGTTCTTTGTCTTACATCTTGCAGAGTTTTAAACTCCCTCTTGTTATGTACTGTAATAACATCTCGGCCCGTCCTGAATCTGAGCCCTTCAGGAGCTTTAGTATCATTATACATTATGGGCTGTACCATATCGTAAGGAGGTAGGGGTGGATGGTGTCCTTTCCTTTGATTGGACACTTTCTGTCTCTTTGACTATCTGCCTGACAATGGAGCCGAAGCCCGACAGCGGTCTGAACGGAGACTGAACGGTGTGGACCAATCTTTCTTGGGTTTTTGGTGTTTGTTAGAGGGAAACAAGGCAATAGGCTGCAAGCTAAGCGAGGCAGACATCCATTCTGTTTCATCGCAGAGAGAAAAAGAAGTCTGCTGTGTTACACTGTTAACGGGGGGCAGGGAGAGACACCTGGAACCACTCTGTTTTCGTCTTTGTTGCTCCTTTTCTGTGAAGATGTCCGCTTTGACTGGCTTGTTAATGCTGCTAGTTACGTCTCTCATCATCACATCTAATGGCGCATGGTCAGCATCCCGTAAGTACACTATCATTTTTCTCTCTCTCTCCAACACACACACACACACACAGAGAGAGCTTTTTCCTGCAATATATGCAGACAGTTTTTTTGTATAGAGAACAGAGCAGCGGACTGTACAGGGTGGTCCGTTGAACGAGATCAGCGGCCCAGCATCACCAACCGCGCGATACTTTCATTCATCAAGAACGAAAGAAGCAGAAGCTGCTTCCCATAGAAAACACAGAGGCAGGGCCGGTATATCGGTGCTACCTCGTCAGAGTTTGATGGGTAGCGCAGATAGTTAGAACACCTGCTCAATCCTTCATGGCGCCCATAGGCGTAAATCCCGAAGGGGGTCGGGGGTCCGGAGCCCTCCAATCTTGGAAAAGTCTAGAACCCCCCCCCCACCCCTCCCCCCCCCCCCCAACCAAAAAAAAAACAAAAAAAAAACAATATATAATTAAAATTA